GTTATAGCAGTCATGACCTAATAAATTGTACAAATGCTAACATGCTTAACAACAAAATATACAGGGCATGGTTGTAGACCCTAAGTCTTCTTAACATGCTGCCATTGCTAAAAACGAAGTCTTACCTTGTTACCTTGTGTCATCATTAGTTGTTTGCTTACATTCCTAAATATGATCTATTTTGTGGCATTTTTATACATCCCAAAAACGAGGTGTTCTGGGTGGATTGATCAGTCAGTTAGTGTTTGCTTCCCATTTCCTACCAACAATCAACATTTGATGTGTTTAACCGTCAACTTTCCCTTAGCTAAGTGGTTCTCTTCTTCAGTAGTGGCTGCACAGATTATATTATGTATATATATAAATAATACTATAACACTTTTAGTAAAATGTGATTGTACTGGCGGGAGTCCCCTGGATATTCAGTGCTGCCGCATCTCTCAGCTCAGACATGTAAAACACACTGATGATTAATTGAACAGGGAGTTGCGTTTCAGACGATTAAAGCTCTGCATTAAAAATGTAGCGTCGCAAACAGAGAACTGGGATTACAGCACACAGATTGGCGAGCCAGCAGTGTGATGTGTCATGATAGACCTGCATTAGCAGAGCATTAGAACATCACAACACAAGATATCACTATTGTGTCATCGCTTAATACACTTCTGTTTCTCTTAAATAGGTGGGGGGTTTAACCAGACTTAATTTAACATGAAAAAACTGAGACTGAGATATTTTTTGATCCTTACTGTGAAATACAAGTACTTCAAACTCGAATCAAGCACTATTGAAGTACCTCGATATAACATAGTTGACTTAGATCCTTTCCACCGCTGGTATTGTGTGAAAACTCCCAAAACTTCCGTAAAAGCCACTTATTTCTTACAACTAACTGAAAAAGTAACAGGATTTATCAGATTCTACCATGCCTGCGAGTTGCTAAAAATTTATAGTTTTAAGATTTGCGGTCATTTCTAAAGCCCAGTTTACCTGTGAACAACAAAGTGTGAGCCACTGTGTAAGTTGAATGTCAAAAACAGATACTGATAAATGTATTTTACTATGGGTTATGGATAAATTGTTTCGAAAATATATCATATTGCCGTTATTTTGTATGATACTACAATTGCAATATGATGCGGTATTGGAGGTAATCATTTCGCCACATAATTTTCTGTAATTTTATTATTTTATTATTATTTTTAATGATGGTGTGGTTTTGAGAACCAAACACCATCTCTCCTGGATACATCTCACAGCTTACAAAAATATAATTATATTTAAATAATAAAACCAGCCTTCCACTGTAGCTTCTATCGACTAAAACAGGAGAAAGTATTGTCTGTGGGAACTATTTTTAGCGGTGGATTAATCCAAATTTGGCATTTTAGTGTGTTTTATACTAATACTTAACTTAATACATTTTTATACCTAAAGGTTAATTGCGCTTTATGAAAATGTTTTTTAGTTTGGGACATCATTCCTATCAGCCATGCTAACATTGTTTTCAACAAGTGAATACCTGATATCTTAGAATACAGTGATAATGAAACCAAAAGAAGTCCAGAAACATGAGCAACCACACGATCAAAGTCGAAAACAAACCCTGGATTAGTAAAAAAAAAAAGGTGCTCATTTTTTTGTAGTAAATGTATCAGTTGAAAGAAGCACTGATTCAACTTTGACCTTCTGTAGTTGTGTTGACCCTAATACTTTAAGATGTCTGCTAGAGCAGTGGTTCTCAACTGGTCAGGCCTCAGGACCCACTTTTTCCTTAGTCAATAGATCGCGACCCGAAATTTTGAACCACTCAAATCTATTCAACAAAAAATCCTGCAGTAATATATATATNGCTCTGCGAGTCGGGCTAGGGTGGCATGCTTCTACCCCTTGACGCGCTCCGACGGAGGACTGCTGGGACAGACGGGGCATCTCGGACGCACCCACTGAGCATTCGGCCGCTGGGCTGGTAGGGGTGGACCCTGCGCCGCACCGGACACAAGACGGCGGGCTAACAACAGACGGCTAACAAGCTAACAAGACGGCTAACAACAGATGGCTAACAAGCAGCTAACCCGGAAGAACCGTCCGCTCTCTTCTTCGTTTTTTTCAGTGGTACAGGAGCAGCATATAGTTGTCACAAGCCGAGAGCGCCCTCTGGTGGCTGTAGACGGTTCATGTCAGTCAGCATGAATTGACATTTAAAACATATATACGTCGCTCCTGACTATAAGTCGCAGGACCAGCCAAACTAGGAAAAAAAGTGCGACTTATAGTCCGGAAAATACGGTAGACTTATTTACTGATTTTTTATTTTATTTCCGATGGGTTCTTACTTATTTGATTTTCTTTAAAGAGCCTGTGACAGCCTCCCAACAACTGTTGTGCAATGAAATATAGGGCTACTAGTAATCTTGAACCGTCAGTTTAAAAAAGAAGGTGCGATGCCGTTCCGATAAATATCAATAATTTAATAATCAATATCTTGTGCTTGCCTCTTAATTGAATATGTTTCAATCAGGAGACTTATTCCGTGAGTTTAATAGCATATTTATTGCCTGAGGGGTAATATACATTTTGGAGATTAGACCCCATCATACTGTGATGGATTTAGGGGGGGGGGGAGGAGCCCACTAGGAAAAGAGAAACCCCCCCCGGGGTCTAGACACTGGTGGTGCTGAAGTGGAATTCAGGTCCTTGATGATGAGGGCTCTTCTGGGTTAGCCTGGCCCTGGATCTGATGACTGGAGGAGCAGGAGGTGGAGGAGGTGAAGGTGGGTTGCATCAATTCTCTGAATGATGCTGGCGAGGGGGAAAAAGAGCAGATTTAAACGTTTGCCAGGTGTGCTGTGATTGGCTTGTGGGGGATGAGACGGGACTGATTGGTTTAGCTGGGGTATGACGCGCCCTTGCTTATTGAAGGAAGGGCGAGTGAGTGAGAGAGAATTGAATGAGAGCGTGGGAACCAGTCTTCCTGAAAGAACTTGCGCTGAGCTTCATTAGTCTTATTATAATAATAATAATAATAATAATAATACATCTCATTTATATAGCGCTTTTCTAAGTACTCAAATTCACTTTACAGAAAAAATATTTCACACAACAAACACTTATTTATTTTCTTAACATATTGGATTTGCTTTTATGAACGTTTGCTTGCCTCTTTATTTAATATGTCTGTCTAGTAATAATACATTTAATTTAAATAGCGCTTTTTTAGGTATTTCAAGTCACTTTACAAGCAAAAATCACACAAGGAACAAAGGTGAAATGAGGAAAATGTAAAATAAATATGACTACAATATGGAACAGAAAGCATTATGAACTTCCCACCTACTCGTTTATTTTACCTTTGTATCTACACTGTCCCTTTACTCTAACAGTTTATAAATCCCCGCTGTAGGAAGAATATACACATACATACATGTCATTTGTATAGCACACTTTAAAAACATCTCAAGGTGCTTCACAATTCAATGAGAGGTCAAAGGATCTATGAAACATTGAAAAAAAGCAAAAATGTTGCAAAAGCATTTCTGATTTCTGATCTCTTCCTGCTTCTCTCTCTCTGCAGAATTCGATAAGTTTCTGGCGGGACGAGCAGAAGCGGCTGAGCGTCTGCCGTCGGTGCGAGCTTCCTCTCAGGATAACAACACCTCCGAGTCTTAACTACACTTCAGAGGAACTAATAACACTCATGAAGCTCCAGCTGCTGGGAGAGGAATGGGCATTACAACCCGTATCTGAAGGACGCACAGCTGTGTATAATACTGCTCTGTACGGTGGAGCAAACATGTTTTTTTTTAAACCAATAAAAGGTAACGTTATTTGAGGAAGGGCGGAGGTTTTACTTGGCGTCGTAATGAGGGTTTGTCCATGTGTGGGATGCAAACATTTGCACATTTTATATGGTTACATTCCTGCTGTTTAAAAAACAAAAGAGATAATATTGTCACAGACTTTTGCAACATAGATGATGTATTATATTGCTGTTAAATATATATATATGTATATGTCATGGTGATTGGTTGCAGAAAACGCCCCTGTCCAAGTAGCACACTGTTAGCTTGTATGTCAGAGCAGATGTGATATTACAAAAGGAAAGAGTTTGATGGAGGATGTTAGAGAATGATGTTTTTTTTTTACATCCAGCATTCCCCTGTGAATATGTCTTACTTGAAGTTCAACAGGAAGTCATGGCACTGCTGTCATATATTAAACTGAAATATTAACTGGAAGACTGGCTGTTTTTATTCTAACATCAATGAATTAATGTGCATTAACTGTATAATCCTATTTATAGCTTTGCAGGTATGGGGCCAAATATGTTTATGTTTAAAAATACAAAAATAGTTCAAGAAGTCTATATACACATAGATAGGGGTAAAATACCTGATAAAGCGTACAGTCCATTTACCATATTAAATCAATATACAAATATATATGATGAATATCCTGTATATTTATATTTCTTGTAAACATACATTTTTATATTTTAATTAGTATGACAGTTTTCAAACTTTAAAAAAAAAATTGTATTTCTCTTACCGTGTTTCTGAATGCACCGCCACCGCCATCCAACAAAGCAAATACATTCCTCGTATGTGTATGTATATATCAATATATATAACAATGCAGTAGAATTTATAAACTATAAATGAATGGTTAAGGGTAACAGAGGGTAACAGGGTCAGTGTCAGTGGTAGCGTTTGTAAGACACCGAAATAACAAATGGGTTTTTAGTTGTAATTCTGTACATGTTGTACAATTACTTAGAGGTAAAGCTGTGTAAAGGAATACAAATAAAAAGCCAAACATTGAATCAATATTAGGCAACACATCTCAGTATCGTGGGTCAGAACCATGACTGTATAACGCTAGTAAACTCTATCTGAAATCTGATTGGTCAAAACAAGCCACCTCGCAAGTGTCCTGTTCTCTGATTGGTCCGCCGCACATACGCCTCCCTCTGTTACGTGACGTAGCCCCGCCCCCTCTTTCTATCTTTACGTTCTGCTGCCTTCCTACACGTTTCTCTTCTGACACCTGGCACACACCGATCCTCCGTTATGTCTCTCGGTAAAGTTGCCCGGTGTTTGGTGCTTCCGGCCCGGGTCGCCCTACGGCCCGCCGCCCCGGTTCTCCACCGGAGCTACGCCGCTGTTTCTGAAGCCAGAGCCGTGCTGGAGAGCGAGCTGGAGGGGATCCGAGCGGCTGGGACGTGGAAAGCGGAGAGAATTATCACCTCAAAGCAGGGACCGCAGATCAACGTGGAGGGCAGCCGCAGCAGTGAGTGGGCTCTTCATGTTCTTCATTACTTTGTTGCAAGGCAATCTGATTGTCCTTGAACGCACCATTTGGCATATCTAGACATGTTACTGACATAGACATGTTAGTGCAGATAGTGACAAAAATCCACGAGTCAACATGTTTGGTTGTTTGAGCACGTCTCTGGTTAACAAAACAAAGGGTCAAAATACCCCCTAAATCGTTCAAGTAAATAAGTATTTTGGATCATACTAGGTAACTAGAATAACAAAGAGAGCCCCACTAGTTAACTAATACTTCAAAACAGACCCTAACTAGTCAGCATTTTTGCATTGACTAGTTAGCAACAATAGACTCTGTATCAAGGATAGCACAAATGTATGTGAGAGAAAGTAAGTTCAATATGAGGCCAACTAGTGTAACTAATGGAAATTGAAGTTGGAAGTCTATTTTGAACTAGTTACCAGGTAAGCATCCTAAGGGTTGTTTACTAGTGTGCATAACGGTAAATCAAGCATGTGGGATAGAGAGAGATTCCTGAGTCCTGATTGGTTGGTATGTTGTGTTTTTAACTGGAGAGCTAGTTCCCACTTATCCCCACCTACTGATTAGCATTTAATGCACCTAGTGTAGTGAGAATTTTTGAATTTCACTAGTCCAAATGATATCCAATTACACCACGTTTGTTAACTAGTGAGTATTTTGTCTTCGACTAGTAAGTTATCTAGTGAGGCTTGTTAAATATGTACTGTTTGACCTGGTGAATCCCTAAATGCTCACTAGATACATGAAATGCTTCAATGCTTCATTTACTATTGAAGTCTAAATACACCCAAGGTAGAGAGTGATGTTTGTTTGTTTTTCTAGTTAACTAGTATGGGTCAAAATATCCCTTTGTTGCACTAGTTGGGCTAATTTTGCCATAACTTGTTAACTAGTCTGACAAAAAGGCCACTAGTTGCTCAAAAAGGCTGACTAGTAGAAGAAAGATGCCAAACTAGTGCAGAGAAAGAGCCGTCTGAATTCATGGATATAGAAAAACAACTCAAATTACTTGCCGTTTACTACTCGTTGTTTTCCAGTGTTTCTGTTCCTCCCACTTTGTTATCTAGGTGTTGAACTTGACTTATGTTGACTTAGTAACTGAAGGTTGTGGCCCCTTGTGTGAAACTATCTCCCTTTTCTAATGCAGCGTTTCGTCCTCTATGTTTTCTTGGTGTTGAATCTGACTCATGTTGACTCAAACTAGTTACAGTAACTGAAGGCATGTAAGGTTACCAGAGGACACACAAGCCAGAATTGTCTTTAAATGTCTTAAAACATGAACAATAATCAATTTAAACTTGACTTTTATCACAAAATGAAACATAATATGAATTGGAAAGCTACGTCCACTACTAAGCTCTGTTTTGTGTTTTGTATCGCCTTTGTTCACACTTTAGTTTGTACCTTTGCCAAAATTTGACTCTGCTGATTCATGAATGGCCCTTTGACTCGAGGTCATGGCCCCTCATGTGTGAAACTGACTCAGTAAAATCCCTCTGGATGGATGCATTGTTATTCTTTCACCCTTTGTTCTGACGTGTTAGCCTTTTTAGCTCTGTTAGCGCCCAAGAAAAACAACATCACTTATAACGCAGGGTTTAAGTTGCTTATAGTGGTAATTGTTGTACAGATTTAAATTGTCATGTCCTTTTCTCCCTTAATGTTCACCTCTTTCTCTTCCAGCCATATTGAATTTCTGTGCCAACAACTACCTGGGGCTGTCCAGTCACCCAGAGGTCGTTCAGGCTGGGATCGATGCTCTGAATACTCACGGAGCTGGACTGAGCTCTGTCAGGTTCATCTGCGGCACACAGGTATGATGGCTGCAAATAATACATGGATAACAGCATATACAAAGCTGTATTGCAGCAATATCTAATGAAGGGTATTAACTTTGCTCTTTTTTATAGGATCTACACAAGAATCTGGAGCAGAAGCTAGCTGAGTTCCACGAGAGGGAGGACTGCATCCTGTATGCTAGCTGCTTTGATGCTAACGCTGGACTCTTTGAGGTATTTAGTCTGTACTTGAGAGGGTTTCTCCCTAAGAGTAGTGCAAGGATATCTTGAACCCTGAAGGCAGCATCTCCCTGTATCAAACAAACGTTTATGGTTCTTACACGTTTAGTTCAGCAGGTTAATCTCCACATAATGATTTCTGAAGTAAAAAGCTGACGTTAGGCTATAAAGGAACTACAGCACGGTCACATGACTTCACGTCACCACCGCTAAGCTAAAGGTGGCTAATGTTGGGCTATAAAGGAACTACAGCACGGTCACATGACTTCACGTCACCACCGCTAAGCCAAAGGTGGCTAATGTCGGGCTATAAAGGAACTACAGCACGGTCACATGACTTCACGTCACCACCGCTAAGCTAAAGGTGGCTATGTGTGGGCTATAAAGGAACTACAGCACGGTCACATGACTTCACGTCACCACCGCTAAGCTAAAGGTGGCTAATGTTGGGCTATAAAGGAACTACAGCACGGTCACATGACTTCCCGTCACCACCGCTAAGCTAAAGGAGGCTAATGTTGGCCTATAAAGGAACTAAAGCACGGTTACATGACTTCACGTCACCACCGCTAAGCTAAAGGTGGCTAATGTTGGGCTATAAAGGAACTACAGCACGGTCACATGACTTCCCGTCACCACCACTAAGCTAAAGGCGGCTAATGTTGGGCTATAAAGGAACTAAAGCACGGTTACATGACTTCACGTCACCACCGCTAAACTAAAGGAGGCTAATGTTGGGCGTGATGATGTTTAGTCGTCTCATTTAGACACTTGTTAGCAACCTCTGTTCACCAGTGGGGTATTTACTGACGTATTTGAACATTTGTAACTGAAATCTCTTCAGCTTGTGTTAACCACCTATCACTCTGACACTCAGGTTCTGTTGGGCCCGGATGACGCGGTTCTGTCCGATGAGTTGAATCACGCCTCGATCATCGATGGGATCCGACTGTGCCGAGCGAAGAGGCTGCGCTACAAACACATGGACCTGAGAGACCTGGAGATCAAGCTCAAAGAGGCTCAGGTGTGTGAGGGATTAGCTTCTACAGAAACCATTACTGCGCAAAAACTCATATCGATTATACATGTCAAGGATCATGATGAATGTTGGGACACACAGTATGTGATGGAGGTCACACAGGTCAATCTCATATATCCATTTAAAGTCACAATGCATTAAAGCCACATTACTGAGGGGGTCACCGCATTGATCTTCAGGACTCTGTATGCTCCTCTTCCTCTTCATGGTTTTTTCATGTATTGTGTCTTGATATTTGTTAGAATAATATCCCTGGTCCCCGGCTTGAGCTTCAATCTCAGGATCCATGTATATATGATCCTCTCAAGGATGGAAGTATTCCATTTTCTCAATATTCAGATTAGTTCTCAAAATTCTAACTTTTCCTCAAAATTCAGACTTTTTCTCAAAATTCGCACTTTTTCAAAAAGTATTCAATTTTCTCAATATTCAGATTTGTTCTCAAAATTCTAACTTTTCCTCAAAATTCGGACTTTTTTTCTCAAAATCTCAAAATTATGACTTTCTCTAAAAAGTATAACTTTTTCTCAAAATCCTGACTTTTTGCTCAAAATTCTGTATTTTTCTGAATACTTAAAATTGTTAATAATCCCTGGTCCCCGGCTTGATCTTCAACCTCAGGATCCATGTATCTGTGATCCTCTCCAGAATGGAAGTAGTCATCACATACAGAGCATCAACTAGTTCCTGAACAGTGTCCTTCACATGCTGATATCCAAGAGAGAGAGTTACACAGTCACAAGATGGAGGAATAGAAAGCACTACATCCTGTCATGTACAAAATTCTTAACATTCTGACTTTTTCCTCAAAATCCTGACTTTTTCAAAAAATTCTGGCCTTTAATCAAAATTCT